GCCCGTGCCAGTCCTCCTGCACCCTGGCTCTCGGATGCTCTCCGTGAGCATCGCTCAAAACTTCGGGCTGCGGAGAGAATTTGGCGGAAAACTAAAAATCCTGCACATCTCTTAACATACCAAACTCTTCTGTCCTATTTCTCAGCTGAGGTTACTTCTGCAAAGCAGACGTATTACCGTCTGAAAATCAACAATGCCACTAATCCTCGCCTACTTTTTAAAACATTTTCCTCCCTCCTCTATCCTCCTCCTCCACCCGCATCCTCCACACTTACTACTGATGACTTTGCTACATTCTTCTGCACCAAAACTGCAAAAATCAGTGCTCAATTTGCTGCACCTACAACAAACAAGCAAGATACAACACCAACACCACACACACTCACCTCTTTTTCTCAGCTCTCTGAGTCTGAGGTGTCCAAACTTGTGCTATCTAGCCATGCAACCACCTGTCCACTCGATCCCATTCCCTCTCATCTCTTGCAAGCCATCTCTCCTGCAGTCATACCAACACTGACTCACATAATTAACACATCTCTTGACTCTGGTTTATTCCCCACTACATTTAAGCAGGCTAGGGTAACCCCACTGCTAAAGAAACCCAACCTGGACCATACGCTACTTGAAAACTACAGACCAGTATCCCTGCTTCCATTCATGGCCAAGATTCTGGAGAAAGTAGTGTTCAATCAAGTCCTGGACTTTCTTACTCAAAACAATCTCATGGACAACAAGCAATCCGGCTTTAAGAAAAGCCACTCAACTGAGACTGCCCTGCTCTCGGTCGTGGAGGATCTCAGACTGGCTAAAGCAGACTCTAAATCATCAGTCCTCATTTTGCTGGACTTGTCAGCTGCTTTTGACACTGTCAACCACCAGATCCTGCTATCTACGCTTGAGTCACTGGGCGTTGCGGGCACTGTTATACAATGGTTCAGATCTTACCTCTCTGACAGGTCATTCAGGGTGTCTTGGAGGGGAGAGGTGTCCAACCTACAGCATCTAAACACTGGGGTACCTCAAGGCTCTGTTCTTGGGCCACTTCTCTTCTCCATCTACACATCATCTCTAGGACCAGTCATCCAGAGACATGGATTCTCCTACCACTGCTATGCTGATGATACCCAGCTATACCTCTCTTTTCATCCTGATGATCCCTCGGTTCCAGCTCGTATCTCAGCCTGCCTGTTGGATATTTCACACTGGATGAAAGATCATCATCTTCAGCTGAACCTCGCAAAAACGGAAATGCTTGTAGTTTCTGCCAACCCGACTCTACACCATAACTTTTCAATCCAGATGGATGGGGCAACCATTACTGCATCCAAAATGGTGAAAAGCCTTGGAGTAACGATTGATGACCAACTAAACTTCTCTGACCACATTTCTAGAACTGCTCGATCGTGCAGATTTGCACTCTATAACATCAGAAAGATCCGACCCTTCTTATCTGAACATGCAGCTCAACTCCTTGTTCAAGCTCTTGTTCTCTCCAAACTGGATTACTGCAACTCTCTACTAGCTGGGCTTCCAGCTAACTCTATCAAGCCTCTTCAACTGCTCCAGAATGCAGCAGCACGAGTTGTCTTCAATGAACCTAAACGAGCACATGTCACTCCGCTGCTAGTCCGTTTGCACTGGCTGCCAGTTGCTGCTCGCATCAAATTCAAAGCTCTGATGTTTGCCTACAAAGTGACTTCTGGCCTTGCTCCTTATCTGCTCTCACTTCTGCAGATCTATGTGCCCTCCAGAAACTTGCGTTCTGTGAATGAACGTCGCCTCGTGGTTCCATCCCAAAGAGGGAAAAAATCACTTTCGCGAACGCTCACGCTCAATCTGCCCAGTTGGTGGAATGAACTCCCTAACTGCATCAGAACAGCAGAGTCACTCGCTATTTTCAAGAAACGACTAAAAACTCAACTATTTAGTCTCCACTTCACTTCCTAATCTGCAATTGCCTATTTGAATATCACACTAACTGTACAAAAAAAAAAAAAAAAAAAAAAAACTACTAACACTTCCCTTCTTAGACTTTACAGACCTGAAACTTGCCTTTAGTACTTATTCATTGTTGCTCTTAGTTGTGTAAATTGCTTCCTTGTCCTCATTTGTAAGTCGCTTTGGATAAAAGCGTCTGCTAAATGACTAAATGTAAATGTAAATGTAATAAATAATGTATTTAATGCTTATTAACTTACGACCGCAGATGTATGATGACAGCCCTCTTAGCCAACCAGTAGGTGCAGAAGCCCTCTACTAGCCCATATCTATCAGCTGATAATGCTCATTCAATCGAGTGATAACATTCGAATCAGCTTTAGAAGTTAAATAAAATCCCAAATGTGAATCAGGGGTGTTCCCATCAAGTTGTTAGAGTAGATGACTGGAGTATTGGTAACCTAGTAACCAACAGTAGACAAGGCAAGCTTAATAGAGTAATGTGACTGTAATGTTTAACATTGCATTTCCACATCCCATTCCATTATTCGCATGAACCCTTTTTATTCCAAAGTCTCATCAAGCAAGAATACAAACTTGATTGCTTTTCAAGCAAGAGTACAAAAGTTATTTTTATTCCAAATTTGGCATTTCCATAACTCGTTTCTCACATGATACTGCAAAATCTGCATTAACACAGGAGGATGGAAACCCAGCTAGTGACTTCCATGAGATTTCTTTCATACTATGGATGTCAATGGTGACTTTTTCCAACATTCTTCAAAATATCTTATTTTGTGTTCAACAGAAGAAGAAAAAAAAAATCCCATAAAGGTTTGGAACCACTTGAGAGTAAATGTTCAATTTTCATCATCATACAAGTTTGCATGACTGTGAGCATGAGTAAAACATTTCTGGCTTCAGTTCACATAATAGCCTTTTGTTTATTTGTTCTGCTGCTCGTTATCATTTGGATTGGACAGTCTGAGAGTCATCTAAGCTTCAAAACAGCCAAGCCCAGGACCGCCTTTGTCTTTGCAGAAACAGCAGGTCTTGTACACAAAAAGCTCTTTGTGATTCTGATTTTCTTATGATTCCTTTTCTGCCCTAAAAATGTCGGGCTAGACAAAAAAAAAATCCTAGAAACACCAAATATGCCACAGTGATCCTAAATCTCCCGTCTTACTCTGGTATTCACACACACCCTCATCGGACCCTAAAATAGAATTTTTCCTCATATCTCCTCAGGTTACAATGAAACATATTTTTTACTATTATTCTAAGTCTAGCTGAACAAAACATATATCTTTGGATTTTTTTGTCATGAATGAAATAATTTTTTGTGCTGTTTTAAAACCGACTTTTTTAAAAACTCCTCCTAGACTATTTTTTTTTCAATCAAGAAACGGAAACTGGTTTAATCTTTATGTGGGCTGATATGTAATGTAATGGGTTTTTGAGAATGACCTTCCATGTGTGTAATACAGCTCTAAGTGAAGAGAAATATCTATAACTAAGTACTAAATATAACTAAGGCTTAAATCTGAAAGTGCACAGTGTTTAAAACTATTAATTCATTTATAAAAAAGTCGACTCATAATGCGTCAAATAAATCATCTTGATAATGAGTCTTTAGCCGTTTCGGCGTGACGTCAATACAAAACTTAAGCCCCGCTCAATTGTTGCCCAAGCAAAACCCGGGAAAATTGAAACCTGCGGCCCCGCCCACAACCACAGTATCAAAGAAAAAGCGGAAGACAAGCACTGTAGCAGATGCCGGTTGAATGAAGTCATGCTGTGCATAGCTGGATATTATTGGAAGTGTGAGGGGAAAGTTAGTGTTCCTTTCTCTACCCAAAGATGAAACTGTGAAGAGTCAGTGGTTGAGGTTTATTTTTGCAAAAATACCTCGGCATTATAGCCCAGCCTTGTGCTGTTTGAGTGCTTCTGGAATCTCCTTGTTTTCTCTAGCTTGCAAATTATGTATTTAATTGTGTTTTGTTACTTGTAACTACTTGTACTGTATCTGGTTAACTCTTTATATAAAGCCTCGTTGACAACGAGACATGTGCTGCTTTGTTTACGGATTTAAATGCGTTTGTGAGCTTGCGTTCCCCTGCCGTTTGTCGTTGCTATGGCCACCGTCTGCTGTTCCACATGCGGCTGTCAAGGTTCAAAATAGTTCAGCTTTTGCCACTGTGTGGATTAATACTGAATGTGTGTCACTGTTTTACCTAAGAAAAGAGCAATATGCTGGTATGTTAGCATACCTGCTAACATCTGTACCTGAAAATCCGGGAGACCGGGGGGGTTAGGTTTGGGGGTGAGATGTCTGAATAACACTGTTGAGAACCGGGTACTGTTTACTGTGGTGTTAGCAGGACCAGTGCATCCATAGAGGCGACCTAGGTGGCTTTATGGACAAGGGTGATGAAATTACGGGAGTTTTCCGGGATAAATAACAAAATGGGTGGGTGGCTGGAGATAGGTCTGAAATACAGAATACTCCTAGGAAAAACAGGAGTGTTGGCAGGTATGCTCACACATACTCTCCGCACTCTGTTGATAAGCTGTGCTGGGTATTTCACTCTGTCTCGTGCTGAAAGCTGTCAACCAATCGCAACAGGCTGTCATCGGTCCAATCAGCGCAGATTAGCTTCGCGCTAAGGAGGGGTTTGGGAACAAATGAATCGCTGAACGAATCATATGGGAGTTGTTGGGATAATTAGGTAAAAATAAATGCATTTTATAAGACAATGAAAGTGTTTTTTGACCTTGCATGCATATTAGACTGTTGTTGGAGACCGTTAAAACCAAAATATGACCCTTTTTAATGCATAATAGGGGCTCTTTAAATTGTCATCTAAACTAAGTCAAGATTTGTCTGTTTTATTGACATTTTTTTGTAGATTTTTAATGTCAGTGTGATTTCTTTTTAACATCAGTTGCTCAAACGGGTTGTGCTTGGACTCCCATGATCACTGTTTGCAGCTATATTTGTGATATTTAGATATATAAGATATGAAATTAAGAATAAAACAAAATCCAAATACAACCTCACCTATATTTAGCATTTGCTTTATTGTTGGCTTTGCACATGTTGTATGATAAAACAACTGCACTGTTTATTTTTGCATAATAATCTTTTTGCATAATGATTTTCTTTTTGTATTAAATATCAACAAAATATCAGCTTGTGTTAAAAAAATATTGGCATCTGCCTTTTTTTTTTAGCAACCCATAGTGTTGGAAGCAGAGTTCATGTTCAGAAGTCGAGAGTGTCGTGCTGGTATCGCAGTCGAGGGCTGTTCTCACTGTAGAATTGACTGAACCAGCGTCTGTGTTTCTGGATGGCGGAGTCCTCCTTCACAAGCATCGGTTTGGAGATGTACGTCTTGTTGTTCCAGATCATAACATCTCGTTCAAACTGTAAAAATCAAAACCATCAGGTAATATTATCATAATTTCTACTGTAACTAAATAAAACTAGTATATACTAGTATTGTAAATAAATAAAATAAGTTACAATTATTTTTTAAAGTTCAGATGTAAAAACCTTGCAAAAAAGTGCTGCCTGGAATTTCCATCATTTTTTTCAGCGTCCTATTTTTATTTTAAGTTCTTTCACTTTAAAGACAATGCAAAATTCGATATTTTAGATATGCACATCTCAGTCTGATTTACCTGGATGCACTCAGCCCGAAGGATGAACTTGGGTACGAGCGGAGGGATGCTGCTCTGGTAGAAGATGGTGTGTGAAACGCACTGCAGTAACGGCTCCACTGGGGTAACACAGTGCATGATCACACCCCGACCCAGAAAACTGTGCTCAAAGAGCAGGAAAACCACACCTGGACCCACCTGCACACATTATGTATATCATTCACATGCATTTTTTATTTGTAACAGAATATTAGAACAGTATATTATTTTTACTAATATTGTATATTAGTAACCCCTTAATTGCCGCCCTCACTTTTTAAACAACATAGACATTATAATGACATGTTTAACTTAATGTCAATTTTCAATGCTTTGGTACACAGATTTAAGCTTGGTCTCAATTTAAAGAAGACAAATGTCGGATTGTAGCTGAAAAACGTTTAAAATGTTAATAAAACAAAAGATATGCACTGTCGTATTTATGAAAATAATAAAACAGTAAATGTTTTATTTTATTACATAAATTTTGTATTTTACAAAGTGAAGTTTCATGAACTAATTTCAAGAGGAGCACGTTATATGATTGAGCACTGCTGGCCACTCATCTGTAATCAGTAATAATCCATCAGAGTGATCCTAGCTTACTATAAATGGATAATTCTTTCCTTACTGCTCTATCTTCGTTTTGGAAGAATCCCCCCTTCCACCCCCTCTCCTCCTTTTCCTCCCTTTTCTAAAGGGGAAGCTATCGAGGTCTACCTGATCTCGGATCCCCTGATATGCTTATTGACCAGGCAGGAGCCCTGGGCTCAAATATCTCCGAGCTCAGGGTTCTCTCCCGGGACAGCATGCCAAACCTGCTATAAATGCTAAGCATATCTAAGTGGGAACACTTGAAACAGCTTTGACCTAAAACAGAAAATTGAAGCTAAATATCTGAACTAATTAAATTGAAATAAATAAATTAAAATGAATAAATTAAATTTGAAACTAATATCTCAAGAAATTTGCTTTCAGTAATATTTTGTTTGGCTGCAGAACCAGACATAATTACCAGATGACCTCCAGTTTCCATTGGTGGCCATACAAGGGCGCTCCCTATGTTTTGAGGAATATGAACCATATTCATACTTTAACAAAACTTACATAAAATTCTAAAGTAGTATGGGATGTTCTGTGGTGTTTGATTTGAATTTAGCCTCTAAAATAAATCAGAAATGATCTAAACAATTTTTACATGTGAATTGCTGTAGCAAAGTAATGCATTACGACTCTGAGTATCCTTGTTGCAAATTAATAAATAAAAAGTTAAAAGATTTAAAAGATTGAATTAAAATTCAAATAATTGCAATTTTCTGCATGATTTAATTGATTCCTATTAATTTCTACATATGCAAAAATAGTTGTAATATTTATTATGTAATATTTTCATAATATTGGACTTTTAATGTTGTATTAAGTACCTTTAGCTTATATATAATAATAATAATATATAATAATAATTTAGCTTGTATTTATAATATATATATATATATATACACACACACACACACACACACACACACACAGTTAATACAGCATAATATTTTAATAATGTCATATTTTATTAAATTTATATTTAATGTAATATTTTGAAATTATAATATTCACCATAATAAATAATAATGTAATAATACCTGGACATAGCTATATTTAAAAAAATGTTAAATCATTTAAATCATAACAGGCAGAATCTTCAGCACTTTCCAAGCTCAAGCATTCAGACACTTCTTAACTTGAAGTGAAGATCCACCACAGCCTTGAATTACAACTGTTGTTCACACATACCATCAGGATTGTTCTCCGTTACGATGGTAACAAGACCTTTCCTTTCAGACAACACACAAAAAGAAATGTTGCACAACTGACCATGAAGGAAAATTATGGCACTGAAACTATGGCTGCTGCACAGACATGATCAAAAGTTACTGTGCTGAACGATTCTGTAAGTCAACATTATTTAATGTACTAAATTTAAAACAGGAATAATGTAAGATTAAAAACATATCATTAAAATAACACATTTAAAATATTTTAAATAATATTGTTTTTAATAATGCAATATTATTATATTTATTATTAATATTATTAATATATTTACTATTGTAACAATCACATTAGCTTAATGTAACAATACCATTAGTATTTTATATTTATTGCATCTATTATTAATGTAATATAATATATATTATGAAAAAAAAAACATCCGTGAAATTACCTAAAAGCTCAATAATTTTTGCAGTACTAGCTCTGAATTTAAGCAATAATATGTGAACAAAAAGCAAAAAAAAAAAAACAATAATTGTAACCTCATTATACTATCCAACAAAGCCATCTCATTTGTAAATAGCATCACACACACATAGAGTATATTCATCGACATAAAAGCATGCCCTGTATGCACTCGTCTGCCTTCTTCAGATACAGTGAACATCCCTCAGAACACAAGAGATCAACACAGTGTTGTCTGCTAGATCAACCATGACTTTCTTTCCCTTCTGTTAATCAGAGCACGTCTCCAGGCGCTTTCGCAGTCTGCACAGCTCACTCCTGCCCTCTAGTGGGACGCTCTGCATATTACCTGTCGGGCCAAGACATCCAGATCCAGAAGAGGCCAGTGGCGGCCAAAAACAGTGAGCGCGTGTTTCACCAACATCTGGGAGCAATGTTTGTTTGGCTCCGGCTCCGGCTTCCACTCCACCTGCAAAAGACAAACAAATCAAGACAAGGTTAGTGTTTGGGTGAATTATTCCATTAAGATTGAATGAATGGATTACAATTATCATTTTACAAACAGATGCCCTTCCAGCTGCAACCCAGTACTTGGAAACAACCAAACACACTCATTCACACACACACACACACAAACACACACACACACACACACACACACACACACACACACACACACACACACACACACACACACACACACACACACACACACACTAAAGCCAATTTAGTTTATCCAATTCATCTTTAGCGCAGGTCTTTGGACTGTGGGGGAAACCGGAGCACCCAGAGGAAACCCACACCAACATGGGGAGAACGTGCAAACCACACAGAAATGTGTACTGGCCCAGTCAGAACTCGAACCAGCGACCTTCTTGCTGTGAGGCAACAGTGCTAACCATTGAGCTACCATGCCGCCCCATAATGGATTATATTTGTATTTAATTTTTCAAGTCTTAAAAGTAAGCCTTATAAACTTAAATAATAAAAATATTTAAATAAATAATAATAATAAAAAGTTATTTGAATATATAAATGAAATAAGCACACAAAATAATATAAAATAATGACAAAACCAACATTACAAAATTATTTAACTAAAACTAATGTGATATAAAAAATGTTTTTACAAAATTATTATTATCAGTCAAATCATACCGTTTTGGATGGAAACAAGGGTGAGTTTTTGGTTTTTATGGTGAATTATCCTATCAAGATTGATTGGATATGATCGTGAATTGATCTAGCTCTTTGAAATGCTCCTGATTTGTTTACTTAATTGACATATAGACGTCAGCCAGGGCAGCGCGGTGGCACAATGGGTAGCACAATCGCCTCACAGCAAGAAGGTCACTGTTTCGAGCCCCGGCTGGGTCAGTTGGCATTTCTTTGAGTTTGCATGTTCTCCCCGTGTTTGTGTGGGTTTCCTCCGGATGCTCTGGTTTACCACACAAACGCCCAAAAACATGCGGTACAGGTGAGTTGGGTAAGCTAAAATTGTCCGTAGTGTGTGTGTGAATGAGTATGTATAGATGTTTCCCAGTACTGGGTTGCGGCTTGAAGGGCATTTGCTGTGAAAACATTTGCTGGATAAGTTGTTCATTCTAAGTTAAGGTTCATTCTGCTGTGGCGACCCCAGATGTATAAAGGGACTAAGCCGAAAAGAAAATGTATGAATGAATAAAGAGGTCAGCCAATAATGGCGTGGGTAATTTGAATATTCATGTTTTTACATAAACAGGCAAGAAACTACAGGTGATTAGGGTTAAAAATAGAACTATAGATAATATCACCATAATTTCATAGTTAATTTATTACAATAAGATTTAAGAACATTTGTATCGTAGGTTTTATATAGTTCACCGTCTACATATATAAATAAGCTATTGCTTTGTTAAACACACACTTATTTGTATACATTTCTAGCACCAAAATCTGAACAATGGATGAAGTCAGGTTCACAATTTCTGTTTAATTTTTGGGACAAAATACACTCAAATATTTTTACAGAGAGGATTTTAGGAATCTCTTTAATTAGGAAAATACTGTGAACTGCTGAAAAAAATAGAATAATAATATATCAGAATAAAATGTATGTAATCAGGCACATCTTCTTAATCATATTCCTCAGTAAAAGCCTTGAATACATATATTAGAATTCATATATAGTGCATGTCATTGGACTTGTGTGGGAAACCAGAGCACAAAACCACACTGAAATGCCAACTGTCCCAGCCGAGGCTCGAACCAGCGACCTTCTTGCTGTGAGGCGATCATGCTACCCACTGCACCACCGTGACTTCCTCTACAGATATTACTAAAAACGTAATGTTTGTTGTACCATATGTAAGTGCTGCTGAAAATGCTACAAAAGTGACGTTATATGGCTCATTTAATTAAGTATGTCCTGAACACACAGAGTTATATAAGGAAGTGGCATGTTTTTAATAATAGAACAGAACATACACAAGATATTGCTATATGTTTATGGTTTTATGATGTATTATCTGATTTAATTCTATCATGTATCCTAGTTGTAATAACTGTTGACCCAGGTTATTATTGTTAATTAAAACGAAGCCCATTTCTATTAAATGAAAAATAAAAATATGTATCATTCAATAAAATGAATTTCATTAAGCCTTAAAATAAATCCTGATAAACCACAATAATAACAAATTATAATAATATAAAATAATAATATAAAGTATAAACATTCATTTTCCTTTCGGCTTAGTTCCTTTATTAATCTGGGGTTTCCACAGATGAATGAACCGCCAACTTATCCAGCACATATTTTACGCAGTGGATGCCCTTCCAGCTGCAACCCATCTCTAGGAAACGTCCATACACACTCATACACTACAGATAATTTAGCTTACCCAATTCAACTGTACCGCATGTCTTTGGACTTGTGGGGGAAACTGGAGCACCCAGAGGAAACCCAAGCCAACGCGAGGAGAACATGCAAACTCCACAGAAACACCAACTGACCCAGCCGAGTCTCGAACCAGCGACCCTCTTGCTGTGAGATGACAGCACTACCTACTGCGCCACCCCCCAAAGTATAATAATATAAACAAAATATTTATGTGAAAAATTACAAAACCAACATTACAATATGAAAGTTGCTAAAACTAATGTGAAAATTCAAAAGTTAAATTATATGAAAAATGTTTTTAACCAAATTATTATTACAGATTTTAACAAAATTATACAATAACTTTAAAACAATAGTGCTAAATACAGCAAAAAAGAAAGTAAAAATGAAACAACAAAAAAATGTTAATGCTAAAACAACACTGAAATAAATAAATAAATAAATAATTTCCCAGAGATGGGTTGCGGCTGGAAGGGCATCCGCTGCGTAAAAACTTGCTGGATAAGTTGGCAGTTCATTCCGCTGTGGTGACCCCGGATTAATAAAGGGACTAAGCCGACAAGAAAATGAATGAATGAATAAATGAATAAATAAATAAATAAAAAATAAAATAAAATCTTAATGCTAAAATAACCCTGCTCCATTTGTCTTAAGGATGTGTGCGTGTGTGTGTGAGGAATCAAACCTTCCAGTCGTGCCGTATAAACTCCCAAGTCTTGCTGTTTGTGTAGCGCAGATCGACTCCACTGACGATACCTGGAGTGTGCAGATGAGCCAAGTGTGCAATATCTGCAGCGTTTTCTGGAATCTCCTGAGGAAAGACGAAGCCAAAAGTGTGAATTAAAAATGAACATGATTTTCACTGAGAAAAAAACGTGGCCACCTATAGCCACCATAAAATGTTTCAATTTAGTTAATAAAATTATACAAAGTAATAATTTTAGCTAAATAGCAAAAATAGCTAAATTTTATAAAAATTTCAAATATTTGCTCAAATTAATGTAAATGGACTTTTTATTCAATATATTACCAATACATAGTATATGAATAATACTAAATTCAGGGCTCCCACTCTTCTTGAAAGTACTTGAATTTAAGACTTCAAGAATTCAAGGCCTAGAAAGTACTTAAAAACAAACACAGGTCGCTGAAAATGCTTGAATTTGATGAAGTTTATGGTGTTATTTATACATTTTTACTGTGCTGCTTTCAAAATCAGAACATACTGTAATTTAATAATCTTACATTTAAATCTTATACAAGAACTTTGACAAATAATGAGCATTTTATCAATATTTCAGTTCTGTTAATATTTGAATATTAACAGTATTTAATACAAATAATTCTATTTTATTCCTTTGAACATCAAAATAGTTTACATTTGAGAAAATGAAACATTTAAAACCTCATCATTACTATGACCTTTGAATGTAAAAATAGTTGTTTAAGTAATATATAAGCGAAATGTATACATTACATTTCAAAGTACTCAAAGACGTTCATGTGGCTATACAGTATATGCTGGGGTGTGAATTACAAAGATTGATACATGATTATTAGTGATTTAATAAGTCCTTGAAAATCTTGAATTTGGTGTTCATTAAATAGGGCTGCACAATATTGGGAAAATCTGACATTGCAATATTTTGTTTTGCTGTGATATACTTTGCAATATGAATAAAATTTCACCAGACTATTTGAAAAGTTCTATTTGGAAAGACTTTATTCATTTAGATTGACTGGGATGGTCAAGTCTATGCAAAGTTTAATAAACTATAAGCAAAAATAAATAAATAAACAGTGCTTTATGGCTTTCCAGTAAGTCTAACAGTACAGAACTTGAGACCGAAATTTTAGATCTTGAATCTGTAGTTAAGTACAGTAATTAAGTACAGAAATTAAACAATCAATTGTAAAATAACATGGTCATCGCTGAATAAATTGTAAAAAATAAAATAAAATAATAAAATGTAATAATATCTTTATCTTTTAATCTTTAAGAAATAATTTAATCCTGCAATATGACTTTTGAAGATACACACATTGCGATATCCATACTCAGATGATATATTTTTCAGGCCTGTCATAAAACATTGGGCTCCGTGTAAAATAATACTGCTACAATAACTAACTGTACTTTATACTTCATACAGTATTGCTTATTCAAATGAGGCATGGTTTCATTAAATATGCACTAATTTGCAACTGTCTTTGCAGTTTGCAATTATTCTATTTCTTGCATTTCTAGCACAAATCTGAACATGAATTAAAATTTCTTTTCTTTTTTTTTTTTTTGCATAAAAGGTTTCCAAAAGACTACTCTCTTATTATTGCTCATTAATTCAGAACATACTGCAAACAGCTAGATAAACTATTTTGAAATGAAATGTTACCAGGCATGTGACAATAACTAGTTACAAGGTTTACCACAATTTGAAAGAGTCAAGGTTTTAAAACCGCAAAAACTTTGTTATATCGTTCCTAAGGTAAACGAAAGTTTTTTTGAAAGTTTCTTATGCTTTGTTAAGAAATTGGTGTTTCTGAAACTAATGAAGATAGCAGATGTCATTTATCAATTTTAATTATTTAGCCTGACATGTTTACTGTTCCAAAATAATATAAATGTTTCCTAAAATAAAATACATTCTGTTAAACTGGGAAAAAAGTTTTAGTTTTTTACCCAAACATTTACAAAGAATATGTTTTACAGCAGTAATCACAAAACAGTGAAACCGTGATATTTATATCCAAGGTTACCATATCGTCAAGAAACCTATATCGGCCCATGCCTAGTTGTTACGGTATCTGCAAATAGTAAAGTGTATTTTGAATGTGTTCTTTACATTAGACAAGATGACATGTCTGCCTCACCTCAATGTGTGCGTTAATGAAGTGTTCAGTGCGACCGCGGTACACCCATTCCCCGCGGGTGATCTGGCTCTGTTCTGGCACCCTCCAGCTAGGCTCCAGCCCGTCACAGTGAAACCACACCAGAACCAGCCCGTTGATCTCACAGCTGGGCCAACAGCGCACCTTTGCAAACTCTGGCACTAAAAACACATCAGGTGTGTTAAGTTGAGTTCAACAGAAACTAAAATACAATCTCAGTTTTGCTTATGTTTTTTTTTTCATTGTATGTGCTTAAGTTGATACTATCTATACATTTTAAAATATAGTTGTTTTTTGTGTGTTTTTTAACTGGAATTTGCCATGAAATTTATAAATATAAATAACAGGCATCATAAAAATAAATAAATGTAAAAATCTCAGTTTTGCTTACCTTTATCTGCATAGGGAATCTTGACACATCTCCCATCGACCCCACGAAACTGCCACCCATGGAAAGGGCATTCAATGCAGCCGCCTACTACACGACCTCCCACTGCCAGGTTGGCACCTAGGTGAGGACAGTAGGCATCCACTACATAGGCTTTGCCATCCTGCCCACGGAACACTGCCACCTGCTGCCCTGGAGGAAAATACAAATACAGTAATTATATTTTCTTTTTATTTACCCGTTGTCTTTTAAGTGCTCTTATAATGCTTTTGAACATCACCTCACATTGTCACAGACCTTAAAAACACATGCAGATGATAATCTTTCACTCGATCATGGTTAAATTCTGCAGTGACTCCACAAGTCTCATGTGTTTTGAACTGTGGTTTCTGGTCAACTATAATACCAACTCAACATGGCATATCTTGCGATGTGGCTATTGTGGATGCACACATTGCAATATTCATGCTGAAATGATATATTGTGCAGCCCTGCTTTCTATGATCAACAATGATGATAACATCATTAAAGAGTAGTATGCCTTATTTTCACATGCCAATGTTGACATTTATGTCTATATAAGATCACCATTTAACTGAACTCTCTGAAGACCTAAGAACTCTGTGTGCTGTAGCCCCCCTGTTAATTTTTTTCCCAAAGTTCTGTTTAACAGAGAGCAGATTTTTTTCAACACATTTCTAATCATAATAGTTTTAATAACTCATTTCTAATAACTGATTTGCTTTATCTTTGGCATGATGACAAGCAATATTTTATTAGATATTTTTCAAGACACTTCTATACAGCTTAAAGTGACATTTAAAGGCTTAACTAAGTTCATTAGGATAACTAGGCAGGTTAGGGTAATTAGGCAAGTTATTGTATAACGATGGGTTGTTCTGTAGACTATCGATAAAAAAAATAGCTTAAAGGGGCTAACAATTTTGACCTTAAAATGTTTTTTAAAAAAATTAAAAACTGCTTTTATTCTAACCGAAACAAAACAAATAAGACTTTCTCCAGAAGAAAAAAATATTATCAGACATACTGTGAAAATTTCCTTGCTCTGTTAAACATAATTTTGTAAATATTTAAAAAAATAAAAAATAAAAAATTCAAAGGGGGGGCTAATAATTCTGACTTCAACTGTATATATTCATTCATTTTCTTTTCATCTTAGTGCCTTTACTAATCTGGGCTCGCCATATATATTAATTTAAGCAAAAAAGAAAACTAATTATAAAAAAACAATTCTAAAAAAATAAGCTTTATAATGTGCAAATCTTCAGTAGAAAACAAACAAAAAAAGCTGTGAAGCAACCAACTTGTCTGCCGGGGTATTTCTATTTTTTCTTTAAGCACCATCTAATGTCAGGGAGTGATTTTGCATGTTCACTTGGCTCATCGCTAGTGAAAATCACTTTGGCATACATGTCAAAAAACACCTTAACCCTGATGTGCACAAGGCTTTAAAGCAGGGGTGCCCAAACCTTTTCGTATAAAGGGCCAAAAACCAAATATCCGTGGGCTGAAGGCAAATATACCGAACTATATTTTATTAAAGTTGCCATGGGTAATTTCCTAATTTATTTCATAATATTTCAAACTAAATAGAAAAACAATTTTAAATATTACTAACTAATGCAGTATAACTGTTTAAATTGTAACTTAATGCAATAAAAACAATCACATTTGTAGCACAGTGGAGCTCAACGCTGAATACACTAGTCAAGCAGAATCTGCCTTTGAGTCTTTGCATTGTCGGGTGACTATATGTACATGTAAAAATATCATATTAATTTATGCCATTTTATTGAAACATTTCATTTCAGTTAGCTTTTAACAAGAAAACAAACAAGCAAACGGTTACATTAAATTTGAATTGACAATGTCGAAACATCCCCATCATTCTCTGTCTCATCTCAAATGGGATGGTGGGCCAAATCAAAGGTTACCATGGACCAACTTTAGCCCACAGGCCCTAGTTTGGGCATCACTGCTTTAGAAAGACTGGATTCTTGCACTGTTACTGTAACTATTTCAGACACTTAGAAAAGAGATGATTCTGCAAAATACTGTATACTATGACTACATTTTTTTATTGGATAGCTGTAAACCAATTGTAGGAGATCTCAACAACAAAACTGAAGCTTTAAAATAGCATAAGAGGAGCATTTTAAGTTTTTAAAGTTTCCTTTAAGTTTGAAAAACTCAACATTACCTCCAAATTAACTGGATAACTGTAAAAGACTATTATTCTCAATGATGTATCTTTCAGAAAAGGCCCAACCTGCTTCTTATGCCCAGACATGGGGTGTGGTTTCCTGTTCCCATATACCTTTTAAAAAATATAATCCAATTAAATTGCTGTAAACTAATTTAGTACTATATGAATTGCATGAAATAAGATATAGAATAAAATAATAAGCTTTGAGCATTTGTGGAAATAGTAAGCTATGAGTGTGTAAAACGGTCCTAGATTTTTGTAATCAAGTCTCCTGTATCATGAGCTGCACAGTGAAGTTAACCATTAATTAAAACCAAACAGTAAATTGTGTCAGTTAATGATTGGCCATATTGCTTGCCATTTTTATATAACCAGGATTAGGTGCAGCAATGCTATAAAGTCCTGATTTGCACACTCATTCGATCTCCTTGTGGCTACAGGAACAGAAATCTCTTTTTCTGTTATGCTGACCAGAGGGGTTTAACCTGCCTGCAATGCGGAGCGACTGAAAAACTACCACACACAGACTATAGGGTTGCAATATATATATATGTATATATATATATATATATATATATATATATATATATATATATATATATATATATATATATATATATATATATATATATATATTTTATCAGCATGGATATATCAATGTGTACATCCGCAGTAGTCACATCGTAAGATCTGCAATGTTGAATCTGAATTATAGTCAACCAGGAGCTACAGAAGACGTGAGATTTGTAAAGTCACTGTTAAGTTTAACCATAATAGAGTTAACGTTTATCATTTGCATGTGTTTTTAAGGCCTGTGACTGAGCATTTCAAGAGAGTTTAAAACATTTGGGCACAAAACATTATCATGTTTAGAGGTGTAACAAAGGGTAAATGTATTTCATTATTTATACAGAATTGATATGTTTTATGCAAAAACAAATGTATACTGTATGTGTTTTAAGGCCCATGAGTGAACAATTCAAGAGAGTTTAAAACATTTGGGCAGAAAAAAGTATGATGTTTGGAGGTGTAAAAAAGATTAAATGTATTTAATTATTTATATGGAATTCATAGGATTCATGCAAAAAAACATTTTTTTTTTTGTCGTTTCAGTCCAAATATCCACATCTCAAACCAAAAACAGAATTATTTTACTTAGCCCATTGGCAGATCGAAAATTATTAATTTTGACTTATAAATTCATTCATTTTTATTTTGGCTTAGTCCCTTAATTAATCTGGGGTCACCACAGCGGAATGAACCGCCAACTTATCCAGCATATGTTTTATGCAGCGGATGACCTTCCAGCTGCAACCCATCACTGGGAAACATCCATACTCATTCACACACATACACTACGAACAATTTGGCTTACCCAATTCACCTATACCACATGTCTTTGAACTTGTGTGCAACATGCACACTCCACACAGAAATGCCAACTGACCCAGCTGAGGCTCGAGCCAGCGACCGTTCTGAAGCGATCGTTCTACCCACTGTGCCACACACACCATTTTGACTTGTTTCTTTTGATAAAAGGTGATAAAACAATAATTTTTAGATATTTGGACTAGAAACAAGAAAAAGCAAAGTTATATGTTTCTAAAAAAATTTATAAAACTAAGTATATATATATATATATATATATATATTTTTTTTTTTTTCTTTTTTTTTTTTTTTAGTTTTTATAGATTTTTTAGGAACATATAACCAGTGGGAACAAGACATACAAATAATAATAATAATAATAATAATAATAATAATAATAATAATAATAATAATAATAATAATAATATTGATAAGAAATACTTGTATTTATATTTAAATATATGATTCTCTTAATGATGCATAGCCTCTAATATTATGTAATTGTAAATTATAGATAATAATTATTGTCATTATGGAGAAAGTCAGCCATTTACTCTCTATTACTTTCTTTTCGAAGATCTATTTTTATAATCAAAGTGCATGTCATTTTTTCCATTTCCTCAACTACTGTTATCATTTTAAACCATTCGTCTTTAGTTAGTGGATATTCTGTATACCAAATCCAGGTTATAGCTTTTTTACTTGTTATCAATAATATTTTAAATAGATACCTATCTTCTTTTTCAAGTTTAATAGGAATATCTCCAAGATGAAGTACATCAAATGATCTAGGAATACGAAGATCAAAAATATCATTGATATCATATCAAAATATTTATCGCAAAAAAATAAAACATTGCAATATCAGATTCTTCAAATATCGTGCAGCTCTAACTCTGACATTAGCAAAAATAGGTGTGATACTGTAATACTGTATGGTAGTTGCTATTAAGTATAAACAACAAGAAAAAAAGGCAAAATGAAGAGCTCATATACAGTACATTTCAAATGACATTATTATGTAGAGAGAAAGATAGAGAGTGTTTGAGGCTGAGCTGAGATCAGCTATCATATCTGTTATCTGACACGATCCCTAGGAGACATCTCTAGCCGATAGCCCATTTAACTAAGGGTTTTATGAAATCCGCATCAATACTCTTTAGTGCTAACAGCATGCAATTAAATGTTGTGGCCTTTGAGATCACTAAAGGAAAGCCAATTTACCCGTCTCTCTGCAGAGATGCTGCATTTTAGTCTGCGGCTTTGTGAAGAAGTCCACTGTAGCATACTTCAGAAAAGAGTACTTATTATAATGGGAACAATCTGCTGGCCAAGAACATACTTGAGTGTGAGCTGTGCAGTTAATGTTTCCAAATGCTCAATTGCAAGATATTTACAGTTGAATTTAAATGTATTCAGTGTTTCCCCTACCATAATATAAGGGGGGCGCCCCACCCTCCCAACGGCTGTACCCGCCCCCCTTGAAGTCACATTAATTGTCTTATCCATATAGCGCCAGATCACAACTTTTTTGTTAAACAAGCTTAATAGCTGTATGTAATATTTTATTTACACAACAGCATGTCATTTCTGTTTTGCGCTCGCGTCACTGAAGCTAAAATATATACAGATGCAGACATCCCAAGTTTCTCAAAGTTCCTGGAGTCTCCAGCAAATGCATAGAGACTCCGGAATGCTCACAAAGAATGTTTATCTCCTGGAAATCACGCGTCTCCCGCCCAGACATCAAATACGTCCTGTATCCCTCCCCGCTCTTCAGACTTGTCGCACACATCCTATGCTGTGATGCAAGTGGGGCTATCTCCTCTATCTAGTGTCTAGTTCTGACCTCTCTCGGAAGCTCTGCGAGTTTTCTGCAAAATCAAACCGGCTCCGAGATCCCCCAATATGAATTAAAATACCCGGAAATCATGGCGACGAGAGTGAATGAGCAAGTGAACAGATCGTGAGAGGCACAGTGATGGTCTAAACATTACATTTGATAGGTTACATGAATAGAGCAGTAAATATATCGCAAGTGCAAATATCCCCCCTCTCTCTCTCATTGAGATATCTGCCGTCAATAGTTGGAGACGAGCAAAATATTGGAATGGTCCTGCATGTATTTAGGCCTTTTTACATGTAACTGTTTTTGACAATATTACAAATTCACTAGAAGCTGGCTGGAATTATTAGATAAAACTTTTTTAACATGAATATTTAATAATATAACTTCTTGTAGTACACTTATTGCTATAAGTAGTAGTTTATAGGCCTATTTTCTTTTAGTAAAGAAGCATTAGATTTATAAATGTGCATTTTAACTCATTTTCATCTTTAATCATTTGCAATGTTTTCCAAATCGCATTGTTATACAGTTTTTTGACCACACTTGGTTATTATTGCTCATTTATTAATTTGCTTGAAATTAGAACTGAATTTAGTAATAGTTTTAAAATAAAATAAAACAAATCTTTGCGCTTAACAAACAAAATTAAATATGTAGGCTAATGATGTCTTCAGTGGAGAGCATACAACATCGTTGTATTATTTATAAAAGTAATGGAGTAAAGTACAGAGCAAAAGTAAAATAAAGAGAAAGTAAAGAGGCCGAATGAAGGAGGCTCATTCTTTATCCTCGCACTGCAGATGGTCTGTTTAACTGTTTTATTCGCTCGTGAAGCGTTCAGTTTTTCCACTTACAAAGTCCGCCATGTAAAAAGCAAATGTGCCATGGTGTGACGCAACTTACTCTTTTAGGTGATGTGAGATGAGACTGGTGATTGGTTTAATGCAAGTTATGCTCAAAACACACCCATAACTCATTAAGAGAACAAGCACAACCCTGTTAAACCATGCACCAGGGCACAGTGTATTTTCCTATCCTTATAATAGCAAAAGTGGATTCAGAAATGCGCTTTAGACTTTGCGCTTAGATCGTAAAAATAGAAAAATAGAAAATATGTATTTGAGACCTAAAGTGCGCTTCAAGTGCATATTTAAAATTCTATTTATTTTAAATAAACTTAAAAGAAAAACACTGGCCAGAGTGCCCTGTGGTAAAGTTAAAATAAGCTTTAGTTAACTGAACTATGGCCAAAATTGAAGTCTTTTGTATAATTTATATCTCAAAACCTGCTATCTGTAAGATTTCTGACAGTGACACTCACCAAGTTTTTAGGCAAAGTCATCAGGGGCAGAAAAAAGGGCATTGCAGGTTAAGCAGTCTCCAGGTTTCAAAAGCACAACAGTGTTTCTTTGTATGTCTAAGACAAAACTACAAAGGTGTTTTGTTTGAGTTTTCACTGAAAAGCAAAAAGGTCTTTGCAACATGATAGGACATTCCACAGCAACCAGCTAAGCGACAGACAACAACAAAAAGTCAAGCTAAAAACAAAAGACAATGACAGGCCTGCACATACACAGGAGTTTACCCTGGTCATTACCTGTGAGGATACAGGCTGTCAGAGTGATGCACAATAGCAGTGATAGAGAATATTTGTCAGAGATGCTTTTTCTGCAACCCTGTCTGAAATGATTGAGGGGCTACTGTGCATTTTATTTACCCAGAATCACAAGCATTGCTTAAAAGTGCCTTAATAATTTTAATGAGTTTGCATTACAAATTAATCCAAGATATTAATGCATGCCGAGTACACAATTAACTGAAGAATCAAACAAATGAGTTATGCCAGTTCTACCAACATCCAACTTAATGTCTTTTATTTGTCAAATTTTAGCAAGTATATTATTAAAGGCGAATAATAAAGGTATAAATTATGCTATAATACATACTTTATAATGAGATTTTAAATAAATGCAGTAGCCTATTCTATTATAAAAGTGGGTAAAATTATGCGTAGGATATTTTAATTGTATGTTGTTTTGCATGCTTTTATCGACATATTAGTTTACTGTCATGTAAATTACAGTTTAGTATATGTAACATATATTATTTCAAACAACTAGACTGTTAAATCTACTAAATATGTCAGTAAAAGTCACAGTTAAATTTTCAACATCACAAGTTGTTGGACCAGAGAATCAAGGGGATCAGTTAATTGATATTTTTTAATTTTAATTACATTATTAAGGTCATATTTTTGCATGTTTAAGGGGCATAACTTAGGTCCTCTGCTGGTCACCTTTCAAAGGGATAGCTCACGCAAAAAAAAAATTGATTTACTCACCCTTTACTCATCCTCAGGTTATTCCAAACCTTTTTGATTTATTTTTTCCTGTTGTACCCAAAATAAGATATTTTGAAAAAGGTTGGAAACTGGTAGCCATTAACATCCATAGTTGAAAAAATGAATACTACTGGATTTGCGAGATTGTTCACTTTATCTTTTTCTAGGTTTAACAAAAGAAAGAAACTCAAAACAAGTTTGAAACATGTGGAAGATCATTAAATGATGACTGAATTTGCATTTTTTTGGGAGGTGAACGATCCCTGTAAACTTAAGTAGACCTGCAGAGTAAACAGAATGTTAATATTGTCTGATTATGGGATCATTAAAAAAGGTAACACTTTAGTTTAGATCACAATTCATGCTATTAACCACTGATTTATTACCTGCCTATATTAAGATAATAACTGTTCTTCGGTAGTAATAAAGCATGATCTTATTCTGCATCCTTTACCTAAAACCTAAACCCAACCACTACCTTATTAACTATTATATTAACTATTATATTATTACTATTAACTGATAATTAGTAGTTCATTTAGCAAGAAGTGTTAGTTAATGGTTTGTTAATATTGTGAGTTGTGACCTAAACGAAAGTGTTACCCTGTCTCCAAAGTAAGAATTTACATTTATACAAATTAAGTAAAAATAATCAAATGTGGAGCCTAATTAAACTGAATAAGAAACCTTAGAGATATTAGCCCCTTGGAGATACTAGCTCCTAGCAACCATGTTTAGCTGCAAGAACAAAAAGAAGAAATAAAGAATAATGAAATATTGCAAATTTAGATGATCTTTCTCAGTGTAATAATAATACACAGACATGTGACATATACCACAAAACTGCTGCATTATTGATTTCAAGCCGGAATGACAGAATGCAAATCACAGCTTCTGTTCTTGAAGTGACCTGAAAACCCATCCAGCTACAAAACTGTCAATGAAGAGCTATTTTAGTCTCAGATCTGAGTCTGCGCTGAGCACTCTAATGAAGACACATGGCTGAAAATGTGCACAGTCTCATTTAAACAAACACTCTGGATGTCTGTTCTTTATTATTCATGTTTTACAGTTAAGTGTTTAAGCCAAGGGAGGCACTCTTGCTTTCAAAAGATTTATATAGGTAGGGATACAAGGATGTGTTCACAAAGAAACCAAGTTTCTTGTGCTTCAACTTTTGAGACGCTTTCTGTCATTTTGTGCTGCGCAGGGACGCGTTCTTCTTGACGCATGCGTACGTAGGCCAACATTTACGCGTCCCGTGATGTTTAATGATGTCCTATCTCAAAATTATATCGATTAATATAGTTTATATAGTTAGTTTAAACAGCTATTTTACATAAAGCTAAAACCATTTGATCGATAAGTGACAGCATAAAGCGACAGCATAATATTTTTGCATTGACGGTGCTTTTTACTGCACCTGCGCAGTTTTATTTACATTTTGACGGGGTTTCTACTTACCCAGTACTGTAACACTCTTTATATTGATTAATATATTTAATATAATTAGCTTAAACATCTGTTTTTACAGGAGTTACAACTATTTGATCAATAAGCGACACCATAATGCTCATACTACAGCAAATGCAGAAATAAAACAAATATTTTTGCATTGACGGTGATTACCTCACCTGCGTAGTTTTATTTACAATTCTTGACGTTTTCTTACACTTACCCAGTACTGTCACACTCTTCACATCTCCTCTCTCCAGCATGTGAGAGTCTAAAACCCGGTACCAGCCGTTTGGATACACTGGAGGTAATTCTCCGGTCTTCCGTCGCCGCCGCACTTCGTTGGCAGCCTGGGCACGGGAGCGCCCATCCTCCGCGATGTATCCCACTTCATCCACCCCGCGGAGCAGCTCCAGAGGGGCGAATAACAGTCTGTACAGCCATCCCATCGCCAGGAGGAAAACCCCAGCGAAGATGCAGGCTGCTGCACGCGTGGGGGCTCCTGCCAGTCCGGTTCTCCTCCATAATTCTGGGTACCCTCCTCCAAAGAGCGTATCTGAAGGATCCCGGACGAGCATGACGAAAGTGGCGGAGAGACCGATCGCTGCCACCGCGAGCGTCTTGAACATCAGCGATGCCCGTGTATTCTCCATGACACCTGCGATGGCATATACGCTATGACGGTCAGTGCTCTCGACAATCCCGCCTTTGCATTCTGGTTTCTATGCAGACAGAAAGCGGCCGTGTTTGTTTATGCATGCTTTTTTCTTAGGGTCAGACACACAGCAAGTCCGGAAAACGTTCAAGAGCGCTGGATACGTGACGCAGCGCATGATTGACATCCACGAGGCCACGCCCACATGCAGGTGAGATTGTTCACTGTACTGTATTGCTCTGTACTTTGCATTTTATGAGCAAAGTGAAATGATGAATTTTAATTTGCATATTAGTTTCAAAAGCAATTCAATAACCTCCAATTATCATAAGGAGTCTGAAATGTCATTTTAATAGGAGATAATTCTTATAATAATATTTTTTTAAAACATGAATTTCCCATAAACATAATCAAACAGTGGAGTATTTTCAGAAATGTAGAATTTATTAACAATGTATAAATAACCAAACTTTAAGCCAAAGATTTCCTCTTTTTTTTCTTTGTAAATCTACTTTAAATTCATTCAATCATTCATTTTCTTCACGGCTTAGTCCCTTTACTAATCAGGGGTCATCACAGCGGAATGAACCACCAACTTATCCAGCATATGTTTAACAGCTGCAACCCATCACTAGGAAACACCCATACACTCTTATTCACACACATACACTACGGATAATTTTAGCTTACCCAATTCACCTAGCACTTGTCTTTAGACTTGTGGGGGAAACTGGAGCACCCGGAGGAAACCCTTGCAAACATGGGGAGAACATGCAAACTCCACACAGAAATGCCACCTGACCCAGCCGAGGCTTGAACCAGCGACCTTCTTGCTGTGAGGCGACAGAGCTACCCACTGCGCCACCGCGCCACCTCCACTTTAAGTTATTCACTGAAATCCTGTGAAATGTAAGTGACCATTTAATATTTTATTTCCAGATAACAGAAATAAAATTTTAAACATGGGTGACATGATCAACTGACATAATGGATATATTTATGTTATAAAAACATGCTTAATCTGACCTGGATTTATTAAAATAGAAATAATGTAATCGAACACAAAGTATAAAAAACTTCAAATTGTGTTATTTTGGGGCGGCACTGTGACTCTTAAATACAATCTTGTAATATGTCATCATCAAATTGTTGTTCTAGATGTGCATGCTATAAACTACTGTTACACCGAATGATATTTTAGGTGTTTTCTCAAAATCAGTGGTTCCCAAAGTGGGGATAGCGGGAAAATGTGAGGAGGGGGTCATTTTGTAATTTCCAAAAATCAAATAAATTTGATTAAACTATTAGAATTGCCATATTTTATCCATAACCTTCTGAAGATAAAAACAATATTTGCTTGTTACATAAAAAAAAAAAAAAATAATATATATATATATATATATATATATATATATATATATATATATATATATATATATATATATATATATATATATATATATATATATATATCAGACTTTTGATTTTATTTTTTTCTTTATATTCCTTCAGGGTGATATGATGAATTGTAAAATTTCATGTTAATAGCATCAGTTGCAGCAGACTTTTGAAACCTCTACGTCACTTATGTACATTAAAAATAGGCTTTGTTTTTTTTAAGAATAAAAATGATACTTGACTAAACAAGATGATCTCCAAGTGAAGGTCTCCAAAATTAAATCAAGAATAGACTTGTGCAGTAAACACCAGTCTCATTAGATGAGGTTAATATTAAATTAAATAAATTAATAAATGACAACAAAATATAATAAGATTGTTAGACTGTGGCACTTTTTTGATTATGCCATTTGCTTTTGTTTATATAGGCCTATTGGTGTATGTACACCATTGTGTGAAACGTTTGAATGTTTGTAACCACCTCCGAGGATAGTGGGGGTCGCGAGTCACTGAAATCGTTATTTTGGGGGTCATAGGCTCAAAAGTTTGGTCATGGTAAGAATGTACTATACTCATTGAATGAATCATGAGTAGGCCCACGCGGAATCTGCACGTGCAGAATTCATCAGATTTTTAGCCCATCATTGATTCTGTGTATTTACTTGTATAAATGTGTGTATATTTATATTCATTCAGTTTTTACATTTATTTCAGTAATATTATTGACTAATATGAAAATGTTCATATGTTTTATTAACGATACAGTTTGTAAAGTAATATTTTCTGTCTTTTAGTAGAGATACTATATGAGACTTGTTTACCAAATAAAGTGGATCTAATTGTATTTACATTGTTAACATTAAATACAAGTTAAAAATGTATTACTTTTCATTTCATATGTTAAGGTTTTAGTTATGATAAAAATCATAACTTAAAATCATTCTGCATAAATCCACATATTTTTAACAAAATTCTGCACAGAAATAGCAAAAAATGTCAGCAGATTCCGTCCGGCCTTATATATTACATTTTACATAATGTTTCAGCTTATTTCCTGTTTTGTTCCTTATTTTATTCTGCTTATATGCTCTCTGGCTCATGCTAGCTGCCAGCAATGCCAAGGGTCACAATGTGTCCACATTATGCATTTGCCAATCTTTTACTGCTACTTTATCTACTTTTATACAAAATCAACTTAGATTTTCTATCTTTTCAAACATATTGTATATCCCCATATTTAGTTAGAATGTGGCCCATTATCTGTCTTATGCCCTAAATTCATGCTTAAAAGAAAATTGTGGCAATGTTTGTTTGCCTAATGCTGCAATTGCAGGGGTTGTGTAGGTTTATGTAATCTGTAGTATCTGTGTCCTCTAAATGTTCAGTATTATTAATAAACTGTGTTAATCTATTGTTGAAGATTATGGAAACTTACAAGAATCTTAGAAATAAACATTTAAAGTTATATAGAATATAAAGAAATATAAAGATTTGCAAAGTTTAGCTATTTAAAATAAAATTAGTTTAAGTTAGTATTTTAATTTTAATTGATTTTTTATATGTACAGTAGGCAATGATTTAACAGCTTTTGTCAAAAAGTAAATAAATACAAAAAAAGAAAGATATTCCCTGCTAGATTGTCTATGAGAGGCTGATTTTGTATGTGAAGGGTTTTTTTTTTTTTTGAAAAATGTAAATGAATGTTTATTCTTTCTCCTGAGAGCGTAAATTTAGTTATATTATACATGAAACTAATTCTTATAATTGTCAATATAATGCAGACAGAGCTATTCTGTAATGAAATGTGAACATATCATGCAATAATAAGGGTCTAAATCCATTTGTATTCTCACATAGCAAGATCAATTTAGTTAATTTAGTCTTAAATATACTTTATAGACCATTTTAAGGGGTTGTAAACAAAAACAATGTTCCCTATGTATTTCCTGTTTGACATTTTTTAAATTTCTATAGCTTCCATGAATCCAAAAAGAGCCACATATTGATCAATAATCTTGTGATAGCTGTTTTAACATTAAGTTATGAATGAAATGGTCTATATCAAACTATCATAACGTCATTTTAGCAATAAGTTGCTAACTGCACTTCCCTTAATGACCAGTGGTTTTGCTACTTCCTAAAGTTTCTGAATTCTACATACAGACCACCTCAATGTGGTCATGTCATTGGCCTATGAACATTTCCTGCTGGTTATCAAACTATTTCATAACTGTGACAAGAGGAAATTCAATAATAAAATCATGTTAAAACAGCTGTCATAACATTATCAATATGGGGCTCTTTTTTGATTCTCGTAAGCTATAGAAACTAAAAATGTAAAACGGGGAGTACAGGTACGTTGAGACCATTGTTATTGTTTACATCCCTCAAAATGGTCTATAGCAAGAGAGGTCTGGGTGCAGACCTGGTGCAGATGCAATCTGAGCAGCATGCAATGCTTTTTAATGGGCTCACCTAATCTCACCCCTAACCCTACCCCTCACAGTGATGTCACTATAGCTCCATTGAGTTCATTGTGTGTGACAGTGCATGAGAGATGCAATCATAGCTTGCATTATAAAGGCTGCACCCTATTGCATATAGTCTTTTTAATAAAGAAAATAAACTTGTTTTGATCATCATTTATTTTATTACATGAATCCTAGCACCATATTAAATGCTTAATGAGACTCAATAATTCTGGGCTGCATGATTTTACAGTTGGACTGTCAGTGCTCAGTTCCTGACAGTTGGGTAACTGGCAAAGACGGTGGTCCAGTAGTAAACCAAGCGTGTTCTCAACATCTGCTTCACATTGTTCTTGTTCATCTTATTGTTGATGTCCAGATACTGATGGCCAGGGTTGGAGAACTCAGGCCAGGTTACGGGAACCTTGGACTCGCCTTTGTTAGGATCCCTGTGAAGGAGAGCGAACGAAAGAGTGAAGTAAGAATTTATATTTTGACTATCATTAGGTGCCACAAGGGGTGGCTAAAGCTGAGCTAAAACTGAAACATTTAATGGACTGATGTGGTTTATGTTTACTTGATCAAAACCTTTTGGAAAAAAACTGAGTCAAATATGATGAATGTTTATTTTTCATTTCTCAATCATTGTTATATTGCATTGCATTTTGGGTTTTACCTCCCACAACACAAACGACAGTGCTTTGACCATAAAACTAGCCATTTATTATCTGTATGCATTTTGTGTAAGCGGTCTGCTATATATATATTACTAAATGATTGATTTGTTGAAAGTTTGGGCCTATACCAAAGCATTTAGCTGAAAACTAGAATTTATCAAACAAAAAATGCACAAAAAAATCCAGATATATGAAATATGATACTCAGAATGAATATCAGAATATCAGAATGTTATCTTAGGTTAGTCTTTGGTCATAAAAATATCAGCATCTACATCTAATTATTTTAGCTTTGATCTAAAATGCAATTGTATGAATTACAGTACATTAATATTGTAAGTATTTTAATGTTTACTCACCCAGTCTGAGCAAAGTTGCTCCAGTAGGCAATCATGTATTTGGAGACGTCCCGATGGCGAGGGAAATAGCCCAAAGGAGTGGCGAAAGGCTTTCCAAACACATACTGAAGTTCATCGGCATGATCGGCACCCATCCACAGAGGGAAGACAGGAATACGAGAACTCTCAGTGAACAGGTATGAGAAGGTTCGGGCAGATCTAATGGGAAGAAATGCTTTCGTTTTTTAATGTTTTTATTTTTCGGTTTCATTTTAGAAGCCAGTAAATTAGAAGTTGAAGTGAACTTACTTGGCATTGTCAGTATGGAGGTACAGGGCTGCTTGAGTTGGCACCAGGAACATGTAGTCTGTCTCCAATTCCACAACTGTCTGCTTGACTTTCTCTTTATTTGGTTTATCTCCCCAGTTGACCGTGTACTCCTGGAAAGTTGCAATTCCAGCATCCTGTCCTCTGTCTCTGGACAGGGCAGTAGCGAGAGCCTGGACCTCCTCTCTGTTATAAATAAATAGCATTTTTAAAAAAGTTAGGCACCCTCAAAATGTCTTGCCACTTTTTGTTTATAAATAAGAAAATATAAATACTTTTTGTTTTTAAAAATATATAAGATATTTTAACCTTCCCCCCTACTATAGTATATAAAAGTAAATACTATAGTAATTAATAGTAAATGCTACAGTGTTTTTTAACCACACTTCAGTGAAGTGTATTATACTGTACATATAGGGCCCTATCAAACACCCGGCGCAATTTGGCGCAAGGCGCGGCTCAATACTTGTTTGCTAGTTTCAGCTTGGCACAAGAGTGGTTTTGAGGCGTTGCGCTACGCTGTTTAAATAGCAAATGCATTAGCACTCATTTGTGCGCCCATAGGCGTTCTGGTCTAAAAAGGAAGGCGTTCTGAGGCGCACCGCTGGTGCCTTGCTATTTTGAGAAACTAAAATAGATTTTTCATTAGACCAAAACAAACCCAGTCTAAACTCGCCTACACACTGCTTAATATGCAAAATAGGCTAATATCTTTACATATGAAAAAATGTAAATATTAAGGATATATATATATATATATATATATATATATATATATATATAGGACAGAATAGAATAGATATAAATATAAAGGATTAAAATATTACAAAATATTATTTTCTAGCCTACATAAATATGAAAAATCACTGCTTTTATGTCTTCTTCATCTCGGGAGGCTTTTTCAGTTCATTCATAACAGTTTGCTTTTGTATAATGTTATTATTATTAGCAGTATTATTTATTATATCCATATTTATATTTGTTTTATTAAAAACAAGCTTAGATTTGCCCACCTGTCAGGTTTTAGACCATAAGGGGCACATCATGTGTTTTAGGATATAACTCAAGTTTTTGAGCACACTTCGTTATTGTTGTTCATTTACTCGTTTGCTGGAAATTAGAACTGAATTTAGAAATAGTTTTGAATTGAATATTTGCACTTAACAAAAGCAATTAATTATTTATAGACTAATTGATGTCTGTGCATAAAGGTTTCCCTATCCAAGAGCGAAAGTGAAAGTGATCCATTATCTCTCATTCTCACGCAGTAGATGCTCTGTTTAAGTTTTCTGTTAAAAAAAAACTGTTACCTGTTAATTGTTTGCTTGTGAAATGCTCAGTTTTTCCACTTAGACTTACTTTACGTCCTGTAACAAGCGAATGCGCTTATGGCGCGACGCAGCTTGCTCTTAAAAGGAATGGGAGATGAGACTCTAATTGGTTTATTCTCAAAAGACACCTATGACTCATTAAGAAAATAAACTCAACCCTTTTAGACCATGCGCCGCGGCGCAAAGCAGATTTTCCCGTTTGTAAATTAGCAAAAATGCATTGACACGCCCTGAAAGCGTTTGCGCCCTGCGTTTTGCGCTCTGCGCATGGACCGTCAAAATAGAGCCCATAGTATTCACAACTCTTTGCCCATGAATGCACCAGCATATTGTAGTATAGTGGACTGATAAACAGTAACAACTATTGTAGTATGTTTTAGTTTTTACTACAGTAAACTGTGGTGTATTGTAGTGTAATATACCATATAGTTGTAGAAAACTACAGTATTAGGTCATTTGTTAATATTTCTATAACTGTTGTGTTATATAGCTTCTTTAGAATCCCTTTCAATGCTTTACTATATAATGGTACAGTATTACTATTTACTATAAATTATAGTATTTTTCAATGGGGCATGTACAAAGTTATTCTAAAATTAGGAAGTGCATGAGTTACTTAAAATGAGATAACAAATTGTGATCATGATAGCATATGGTTTACTTAAACTGAGTAAACAACTTAGTAAAAAGTGTGCGTTGTTTAACTAAAAGATGGTAGTACACAATTTATCTTAAATAATATGACAACTTAGTGAGAAGTGCACAGTTTACCTAAGATCAATTTACCTAAATAAGGCAAGACATTTGGTAACAAATTAAATGTTATATCTAAAGTCAAGATAGTGTGTGATTAACATTAAGTGATAGAATAAAAAATGGTAAATATGTGTAACAAATAAACAGTTTATCTAAAATTAGTCAAATGTCTACAGATGAATTAAAATGATGCAGTGCCCGATTTAACTAAAATGGGGTAATAAATTAGTGTTATTAATGTTAAAATGTGGGAATGGTTCACCTAATTACTCTAAATACTTTTTCCCTATGTCATATGCAGGGCTTTTTCTAGTTTTTAGCCAAAAAAAAAAAACTACTTAATGGCGTGTAGAAATCCTGTTTTTAATTTCACAGAGTCTTTAAAAATTCACAAAATGAATCCAGATGTAACACACTTACACAGGGGTGGTTGTCAGAGCGTTGTTGATTGAGGGAATGTCAATGGTGGCAAAGATGTGTGCGTCCATGTCGTTGACTCCAGCGATGTAGTCGATGTCAGCAGCATTCCCGAAAAGAGTTTCAGGCTCATCAGGGATGAAATCGCCATCGATGACGGGGGACAGATACAGATTGTGCACAATAGGGGCTGGAAAAGTTTGTCACATTTGACATTTTTATTGGCATTTGAGTTTTTTGATTTTAGCATTTCTTTTTTTTATTGACATTTGACATTTTTATTCCATTGCATGTTTTTTGTTGAGGCATGGTTGATATTTATGGCATATCTAGAGTATTTCTGCTTTTACTTAAAAAAAGAACATTAATAAAAATAATATATAGATAAAATAGCTAGATAGAATTCTTATGTCATTGTACAACAAAATTTAAATGCAAACCTCAGGCGTATAATTATACTGTGCAAAAATTGCAATGTAATAAATACAAAACAAGACATAAAATTAATATAACAAACAAAAACTCAACAGCCTGATCATGGTTGCCAACTCAAAATAACTACTAGACTTGTTTTACTTCATATTGTTTTCGAAGCAATACTTTAATTCTCAGACGTGTTTTTAAAGGTCCCTTGAAATGCTTTCAAATGTGCAGTTTGTTGGATTTGTAATGCAGTTTAAACTATAACATGAAGATGAGGTGGAACATAGAATAGCCCATCCCCCTTTAAAAAAAACAGCCAACAGCATTTTATTTTAATCATGGTTGAGCTCAAACGAATATAGCATGCGCGTCTTGAAGGAGGCGGGACATTACAGATACTAGAGAGCATTTGATTGGTTAGAAGTATGAGCTGGCATCAAATAAATAATTGATTTATTCAGGTGGAAGTGTTACGTAAGTGAGGCGTATTCTTTAAAGTTATTCCTCCTTTTACTCCCTGTTCTTCTTTTTTTGCCTTGACTTCACCCCTCCTGAGTTTCTTGCAGATTGCTGATTGCTTCCTCCAGCTGTGTTCACTTACCATGGAGGAGTGAGAGGGGATAAAAACAGAGGCTAAACACTTCGATGTGGAGAAAGGGGCTAGAGAGGAACCTTTCTCCAGAGCTTTAACTGGGTTTCATTTGAAAATAGAGCTGTTTTGAATTGTTGACATTATTGTCTGACCTGTTGAAGACCGTCATTTTAGCTCTGCTGTGGCTAAGAGCAGTACCACTGTTTAAACTTTGATTTCTTTCTTTTGCTTTTTCTCCAGGAAGCAGTGAGGAGGTGGACGGCCTTTTTGTTGGAATTTTTCTCCTGTTTTTGATGCCAGTCAGGAAGTCAGTGTAGCGAAAGACTTCAAGCTTTGGAGCTTTTTATCTTCTTAATACTAATTTTGTCGCTGTTTTGGAGCACACTAGCTTAAACATATCCTTAAAACTAACATACTGATACTAATGACTAAAACTTTTTATTTTGATTTCTTTAACTTTTATTTTATTTATTTATTTATTTTTTACACAGGAATGTATTTTTTTCTTGTGTTTTTGTTATTGAGAGTAATATAAATGTTCTTACCATCAGGAGATGATGTTAACTTCAATTTCCCAGCAAGAGTTACAGCCTTTGGATCTGCCCTTTTCAGACAATCTGCCATCCCGCTATCAATGGGACATCCTACTTTGGTTGCAATCTAAAAGCACACAGCAAAGAATTTCGGATAAAAAGAATAATTTTAATAACCATTGAAATAAACAAGGCGTTGGTGTATATTAATTATTAACTGACCAAGGCCAGAATGTGAAGCAGAACAGGTGACTTTACTTAGTAAACACTAGCAAGTGTACTGTACAGTAAAAAAAATAGAGAATGAGGGTGAGAATGAGAGTAAACAAACCCCATAGAATTTGATCTCTGTATATGAAATGCCATCAGTGTACATCAAGTCTGAATAAGGGACATTAGTTAAGGTAAATCTCACCTCCTCAGCAAATTGTCTTGGATTTCTGCTGATGGCCCAGGGACAGAGAGCAACACCACTCTGAGAGATGGCTCTTCGGATCATGCCCTTGTTTTTAGGTGTAATAATCTGTGCAGGATGAAACGCACACTGATATTAGATACTGAGGACCTCTTATGCTTTTTGGTTGTCATTGGATTTAATGAGAAAACATTATTTAGCCAAATAAGACTACACAATTACTTGCATGTAATAATATTGAAGAGATAGTTCACCCAAAAATGTAAATTTACTCACCCCCAAGTTGTTTCAAACCTGTTTGAGTGTATTCTGTTGAACACAAAAGACCTGTACCCATTGACTTCCATAGTAGAAAATGCAAATATATGGAAGTGAGTTACAGGTTTTTTCAGCATTTTTCTAAATATCCTCTTACAGTATGTGTTTAACTCATAAGACACTTAAACTGGCTTGTGGCGAGGGAATGAGTAAAAATAATGAGTTTTGGGTGAATTGTCCCATTAATATAGAAGCATGCAAGCTGAACATAAATGAAACATGATTTTGTTTTTTTAAATGCACCTGGAAGTTGACGCTGGCTGCCCCTGCTGATTCCCCAAAGAGTGTGATGTTGTCTGGATTTCCACCGAAAGCCTTGATGTTCCTGTGAACCCAGGAGATTGCAGCATGCTGATCCCACAAACCATAGTTTCCTATAACCCAGAAAAATAATCACTTTTATTTGCTATTCTGATGTTTTTCACAGAAATGTGAGAACTTGTGAGAAAAATTGTTTAAAATCAGATATAAACTGAGAGAACACTGAATTTGTATTATATAGACATTAAAATGTAAAAAAAAAAAAAACGGGATTGTGGGATAAAAAGTCCTTTGCAAAACCTTGCATATAAAGTATTGTATGTAATTATTTGCATATGTTTTTTTTTTTCTCATCTCACCTCTCTTATTACTCTGTCTGCTAAAGGACTACATTTCTCATTTACTGTGGAGATAATTGCAGGATATTTATTCAAATTAAATGTGACCGATCTGGCAAATTGAGTCGGAAGTTGCACCGTTCTGTTTTAAGATACAAGCTGATAATCTGAAAAAAACAATGAACAAAACATTTGCTGATTTCTCAGAACAGACATTTTAAAATAATCTCACAGAGTTTTGTTGTCAAGATCATTGAGTGACTGTATTTAAGTGCCTTTTTAAAAATATTTATTCAAATAAATGCTTGAATATAATTTGAACTTCAGCCTTGTTTAAAAGCACTTGAATATGTGCTGATGTGCACATTAAGCTGTAAAATAAAGTTTATCCCTTTCAATGCAATTGATTTTGAAGGATATCAGCAAAAAATGGTCAATTGTTTTTTTTGTTCTTTGTTTTTTTTTTTGTTTTTTTTTTTGTGATTTATCTCAGGTTTTCAATTGAAAATAAAAGGCAGGCAACCATAATTCAAATGGGCATATCTTCAAAACCGTTCAAGGTATGAATTTGAACAGGATATAATTTTAAATTCTACAGTCCTATCTATAGCAATGTAAATGAGAGTAAAATGTAAATTCAATTAACCAAATAGAAAATTTGGGTCACTGTGACTCATTTTGCTGGATCTGGTCACAAATACTATATGCATATTTATTTTTACCAGGAATGCCATCATCTCCGGTGCTCATGAATCCCAAGGCTCCGACACGGTAGTTGAACGTCACCACAATGACATTTCCTCTGTCTGCCATCTCCTCTCCATCATACAGGTAGTTGTCCAAGAAGTTTGCTCCCTGACCACCGCCAAGCAGAAAAGCACCGCCATAGATGAACACCATAACAGGCAAGTTGGAGGAAACTGCAGAGAAGGTGAACAATTATCATCATAGTGGGAAAAAAACTTATCATTTTAAAAACAAAATAAAAACTCTGTCAAAATAATCTCTTTCAAAAGTGGACATTCAAAAAAAAAAAAAAAAAACTAAAAATATTTTGATTTTTTTTACTCCAATATAAGTCAAAAATGAGCCAAATGCACTATGCTTAACAGTTTAATTGTCTTGTAATTTAGAACAAGTTTGCTTTACCGGTTCTACCCTGAGGGACCCAGATGTTTAGATAAAGACAGTCTTCACTGCCGATAACATCAGTAGCAAGAAGATTGAGCTGCAGACACCTCTTTCTGTAGTCAGTTGTTTTCAGGACACCTGTGAAGATACAGTAGAGTCATCCAGGTACAATACACTCACTTGTTTTTTTTTATGTTAAGCTTAAAATGACAGACATAACGCAGAAGACAAAGACAGATATAATGTACCTTCCCAGCCTGGGTGAGCAACTGGCTTCTCAAATCTTTTGGGTGGAGCGGCGAAGGGGATTCCCTTAAATGTGTCCATGTAACGAAAGAGACCAACACTACGACTCTTTCCCTGCACCATCCCTCCTTCAGTGAGCACAGCTCCCAACTGCAACATTCACAGGTCAGTTAAAGTCAGACTTACAGAGTAGGTTGAGGTTTAGAGTGTCTTATCTTTCTTTTTCAGTGTAGGTAATGTCATGCAGCCTCTATAATATTCAGGTCTGGACCCTTTGGAGACCATTATATGACTGTCTGTGTTTAATCAGCTGTTTTCATCCTTCAAATAGGATTTCACTGCAATTAGTGGATCATTATCATGCTAAAAATGAAAACTATTACCACTGAAGTCCTTTCCAGAAATAATGGCATTATGGATTAAAACCTATCTGTACTTCACAACTCCATCAGTTCAGACAATATTGCTAACAACACTGATAGAAATGCAGCTTAAACCATAACAAACAGCCTCTCTCCAACATTGTCTTTCACATGTCTTAAATCAAAATAATTTAAACTTTAACCTAACCTCCAATTTAACTCCTACAAACCATACATCAACTGGAAGATCATTTATTCACTCTGTAAAAATCTAAGTAAAAATAAAATTACACTTGGATGGTTTTGTGGTAAAGAGTCACATAAATCCATTATACCATCAGTAAAATAACAAATTTAGTGTTGGCCTAAAATGTTGGATTGATTCCTAGTGGTTTAACTATGTATTGCAGTCTGATTCAAAATACTGGAGAGGTTTTTTTCCCACTTGGCCCTTCCTCTGACCCCTCAACACACACAGGTTGCCAGATTGAGGACACCAACATTTGCTTATTGAAAACCACCTCATGTAGATTTAGATAAGTCTGAAACTATATAAGTTTCCTTTCGGAGACTGCTATACAATGAATAGATTTGCAATGTAATTTGCTGTGTTATCAGCCAAGCCAATCTGGGGTGCTGAAATATATAAGGTTTAACTGGCAGTGCACGGAGTTACAGATCAAAACAAAGACCAATATTCTGACACTAAGAGTGTAACTAACTGTAGCATCATTTTTCAGATAAACAAGTATGTTCGCTTAGCATGTTTCTTAAATATCTTCAAATATTTGGTATTTTTGTGCCTTAGAAGAGTCTTACATGCAGCACTTTAATGTTTTGTTCTATAGTGGAAATAAGCTTTTATGAGAACAATAAGTTATCTAGTATACAAGTATCTTATACTAAGTATCTTATATAAAATATAAGATTGAATATATAATATTGAAATATCAGATTGGAGAAAATGTTTCATCCTTTTTTGTTTTCTCCTAAAAATCCCTGTGTTTAATCACATTTTGTTTTCCTTTAGAACTGAAATGTTTTGGAAGTAAAGGTAAATTTTTACAGGGGACTACAAAATCATTAAAACGATCCCCTTAATGAGTCCCCTCAATGGCTTTTTTAACAGTTAACAGTTTTTAAAGATAACATATATATAATTTAATTCATAGACTGAGCTATTAGTTCTTTAATAATGCTTCATAATAACTTCATAATTACACTATAAATTAACTATATAAATAATATAATATGTAAATTATATATATATATATATATATATATATATATATATATATAAAACACACATAAACTGTTAAGCATAATAATGACAAAATATGACAGAATATTATATTATTAATAAAAAAAATGTGTTTTAACAAAATTATATTTGATATATAAATATTATATCACAGATATACAACTAATTTTTCAAAAACTTCTATTTAATTTGCCTAAATTTTTGTATCAAATTAGGTATTGTTTCTTTAGTTATATATAAAAAAAACTAACATCTCAAAAACTGATTTTACATTAATTCAGTTAGTATACTACCTATAGTTAATGAATACGATTTTAATTGTTTAAATAACATGAGCATGAAGTATGTCAAATTCTAACATTATTGACAATAAATCAGTTCATTCTTTTTCACTAACACACAGTATTGAAATGTTTTTTTCTTAAAATTGTTTGGATTTAATAAATATATTATCTTCATGACTTACAGAAGCTCCCTGTGCTGTGCCCAGGAACAGGACGGCAGAGATGAAAACTCCCAGCATCGCCATCATCATCAGACAGTGGCTGCGATTGTAGCACTAAAGGGATTTTTGTACGCTTTTATAAACAGGTCAGATCATATCTCACTCTCAAGGCTGCATCTTACTCCAAAAGTACACAGCAACTGAGCAACATGTGTGGGGTTATGGTAAACTCTCATGGTACATTAAAGTAAGGCTCTTTGTAAGGTTGTTCAAGTTCAATGACACAGACAGACTTTTTTCCATTGCAGAGGAGTGTTATTGATAGATAAAAACATTTGTGACACCTTGCAGGATAAGGCCACACAGACTTTTGTCAGCCAAAGCACTTTTTAAAGAAATCAAATCAGTTCATCCTATGCCAACATTTCACACTTACTGATTTATATTTAAAATGTTTCTGTATAAATTAAATTATTTTCATCAAATAATTAAAATAAAATAAAATACAATTATTTGTGGTAGCTGAGACTTTTAATTGCTTTTTTCTAGAGGTCTTTTTTGAAAGAAAGTGGCATTTATTTTATCAAACATTCTGTAAAAAATGTAATGTAAAATATTTTTACTGTGCAAAATATTATACAACTTCGAAAACAGTTGAGACAGTATGGAAAACGCAAACAATAATAGAAAGTAGTAATTTCTAAATTTACTTTGACTTGCATTTCATTGCAGACAATACAACAAACATTATTTCATGTTTTCCTCAACATTTTTAAAAAATTGGAACAGTAGAGCATTTACCAATTTGTAATGTTGCCATTATTTTCACAACACTTAGAAGGCGTTTAGGGACTAGAGTGATGAAGTGTTTCAGGTGTAATTTTGTCCTATTCTTCCTGCAAACAAGTCTCAATGTGGGCAACAGTATGGGGTCTTGGTTGTCACATTTTGCATTTCAAAATGTGCAACACATTCAGGCCATTCACAGACAGGCCATTCAGTTACCGGTATCTCTTCCTCCGCAGCCAGGACTTTGTGATGTGTGCAGAATGTGTTTTTGCATTGTTTTGTTGAAATATGCATGGGTGTCCATGGAAAATAAGGCAGCATATTGTGCTCCAACATGTTTATGTACTTTTTAGTATTAATGTTGCCACCACAGAGGTGCAAGGGCACTGACACAACCCCATACCCTGACAGCCCCTGGCTTTTGGACTTGTTGCTTGTAACAGTCTGGATTATCCTTTTCTTCTTTAGTCAAGAGCCCACTGCATCCATTTCTCCCAAAAATACCTGAAATACGGATTTATCTGACCACAGGACATGTTTCCAGTGTGTGATGGTCCATCCTGGATTGCTCTGAGCCCATAGATGTCGACGGCGCTTCTGGACACTGTTAACAAAAGGCTACCTTTTGGCACAGTACAGTTTTCACTGGCATTTGTGGTTTAACTTGTTGTGGTACTTGTGGTGATACTGCTTATATTTGAATGGCGATTCTTGATGCCGTGCTGCCTGAGGGATGCGAGAACACTGTTGTTGAGCTTGCCCCCATGTCCTTCACTCACTGAAATTCTTTCAGATTCCTTAAATCTTTTATGTTATGCACTGTTGAAGGTGAAAAATCCAAATGTGGTCCTATCTTTCCTGGAGGACCATTGTTTTTAAACATATAATTGCACAAATCTTAAAAATATAATACTTTTTTTGTTGGCAAACTGGCGATCCTTGACCTATCTTTACTACTAAAGGACTAGACCTATTCTTGGATGTTGCTTTTGTAGCAAATTATAATTACAATCACCTGATGACATCACCTGTTTCATTATTTAAACTATTTACCTGATTACTAGCCCTACATTGCTCATGTCCTGACTTTTTTTTAAATGTGTTGCAGGTCTAAAAGTCAGGAAAGGATGTATATTTACAAATGAAATTATTTTGACCAGACAAAACATGAAATATTTTGTGTTCATGTTGTCTGCAATGAAATACATGTCAAAGTCAATTTGGAAATCCCTACTTTCTTTTTTTATTTGCGTTTTCCATACTGTCCCAAACCCCAACTCGGGGTTTTAAAATGTAATTTATTTGCAAATATGAATTTTCAGCATAATTGCTTTAGTGTTCAGAGTCATATTATTTTTTCAAACTGAAATAAATCTCACTGATTTGCTGCTAAAGGAACATCTGTTAGTTTTCAGTGCTGAAAAGGGTTTGACTGATTAATATTAATACTTTTGTTTAAACTAACAATTATGTTTAGTTTTTTAGATTTTTCTATAATTTAAAAAAAGTTCATAAACATTTTTTGCCTCATAAATACCTTTCCTGTTACTCAGATTCCTTAATTAATAAAATTATTAATTTATTTTTGATATTTTTTATATTTGATCAAAAATGCAGTTAAAAAACTAATAGTTTAAAAATATGATGCAAAATAACTGTTTTACATTGTAATATATTTCGAAATGTATTTATTTCTTTGATACAAAATTAAACTTTCAGCATCATTGCTCAAGCTTCAGTCTCCAGTCATATTTCATTCATTCATTCATTTTCTTGTCGGCTTAGTCCCTTTATTAATCCGGGGTCACCACAGCGGAATGAACTGCCAACTTATCCAGCAAGTTTTTTTATGCAGCAGATGCCCTTCCAGCTGCAACCCATTTCTGGGAAACATATACACACACACACACACACACACACACACACACACACACACATTGTGGCCAATTTAGCCTACCCAATTCACCTGTACCACATGTCTTTGGACTGTGGGGGAAACCGGAGCACCCGGAGGAAACCCACGCAAAGGCAGGGAGAACATGCAAACTCCACACAGAAACACCAACTGAGCCGAGGATCGAACCAGCGACCCAGCGACCTTCTTGCTGTGAGGCGACAGCACTACCTACTGCCTCGACCCTCAGTCATATTTTTCAGACAGAAATCATTTTAACTGATTTGCTCAGGAAATGTCTATTAAAATTTTCAGTGCTGAAAATGGTTAAACTGATCAACATGAATACTTATGTCTAAACTTTGTTTTCATTTTTAAATTATTTTCTATAAACAATCAAATAAAAAAGGAATAAAACAATTAATAAAAACATTATAAATATATTCACTGTAATTTTTGCTCAAATTTGTGATGAACAAAAATATAAATATCTTTAAAAAAAGAAAAAGTACTGACTCCAACATTTTGAATGGCAGTGCGATAGTGTGTATACATGTACACCTGTGCTGTATTACATAAGTATGCAGCACTTATCTGTCTTTATTTCGATATAGCTGTTGAACAGTACAGTATGTCAAGGTGCGTATCGAAGTATTTGCTCATGACTTGGATGTATTGTTGGATAATTTTTGAATTGATGTTTCTGAGAAACACACCAGCCATCTCTCTCATCACACGCTTCATATTTCCCATCATTCTTGTGCATGAGATTCTGTATTCTAAAAAGAAGGAAAAGAGAAGAGCGGTAAAGGTATGGAGGAGTGGGATGAGTCTTGTAGTTGATGCATGAATGAGAGAATGAATGAATAAATGAAATGACTTTTCATTTATTAAAACTTAATTTTGCTCACACACACTGCAGGGATGTGCTATAAGTAATAGGGTCAAGCTGAAAAACAATAAGGACTGTGAAGATTTTAAATTAGACTGTTAATTACTATACCTATATAGTAACTTAACTATAAAACAAAACATAATCCTGAATCCATAAGTATACTTTGAATACTTTGGAAGATGTGTTTGACATGAAACCCAATACGTACACAATTATGTGGCAACAGTATGAACCCATAAAAAAAGCACAAAAACAATTAAATTTTTGCATTTGATATTATATTTGAATATACTATGTGATTGTATGTTGGTATTTAAATACCCAAACCAAAATACGCTATCCTGATTTCACCAAGTAGGACATGTTGCTGATATAGCATCTTGATCCAATCAGCCAATCAGAATTATAAGATATATTTGGGAATAATTTACAGTTATGGTTGGGTTTACGGGTAGAGGAAAGGTATGGATTACATTTTTGAACAAAAATGTTCCAAGATCAACGTAGATGTTAATCCAGTATCGCATCGTACTATGTAAAATCATGTCATGCATAAAACATTGTATATTGTTTATTCATGAAGGGTGATTGTGTAAATATATAGTAGCTTGTAGTGCAAATGTAATATGTAAATATTTCCACCTCAAGGTGGTCAACCTGTACATTATATGAAATACATTAAAAACTGGCGCTTTAACACTGTTTTGTTTAAAGACTCATGGCTATAGTCACGCTCTGTACATCATTTATATGCAGACTCATCTTTTTATACACAAACGCAATCATAAGCTGCACATTAGGGCACCTCACAAATTAGATTTTAGACCCTTCTGAGTTAACATAAGGGTTTAACGATTGAAAACAAAACAGAGAGAGCTTTGGTAATGATAATTGAATTAATAGTTAATTGCTGCCATATTAATTTCTCAATATCCAATAATATCTCAAATTTTCTACATTTTTATGAGCCATATTTATTATTATTTTTTTTAGCAAAACTCCCACCTAATCAAATTCCACATTGTGATGTATCATAGATCAAGAAGGGATACATCTATGCTTTCCTCAGAAATGAACTACTGTATCTGAACCGGTGTGTGGAACAAGCAATTGAGAACAATTTTTAGCTTTCAGACAAAGCCACAATGTAAACACATACAGCATGCTTTAGCACTTTTTTTTTTTTTTTTTTTTTTTAATACTTTATTTATAAGGATTTTTATTTTTACATTTTCACACAAAAAAAAGACAAACAATCAACAACAACAAAACAAAATATATAAACAAATATCCCCAACACTACTTTCCCTTTTGTGGCTTTAACAGAAGATATACATAGCTAACAGTCTGCAAACATAAAGCCCTCAAGATATACGATACACATAAAAAGTAAACAGTTCAGTGTGTAATAAAAGAAAGGTTCTGTATACCTTTATTACAAGCACTGCCATTGTGAAAGGCATTACAAGGTTACAGTGACATGAAAGAGGAATAAGAAAATATGGAACAAAAAAAAAAAAAAATATATATAT